GCTTTCTGACCAAAAGCTCAAATTCAGCGCATTGCTGATATTAGTTCCTGCTATATTTCCAAGTCAGTATGCTTGGGTTGCTGAATGAGGCTGCTGGTCATTAGCTACGTGACACCAATTGCCACTGATTCTTTATGGTACTACGGGACTTCGCTCTAGATCAGTAAGAATGAATACTGTAACAGCAGTTGTATGAGCCTGGTTTTGAAGCTGGCTACAACTAGCGGCACTCAGACGAGCACCACCTGTGAAAGAAATATGGAAAGGCACCAGCGAGCAGGAAAGGGGATGTGGCTCTCATACGCCCACCTTTGCATGGCGTGGTCAGACACATCTGCCTTGGCACAGTACATGAGCCGGAGATGTCTCTTCTGAGCATCCCCCCCAGTTGGTTTCCTATTGCTTATAGTATCCACATGTACATTCTAAAATTTCTTTATAAAAACACTATTACAGCGCAACACAATAATTTTGCAATTAGCTGGTAGCAGTAACGTAAGAGTCTCTGCATCTTACATTAGCAGCCTACTGCTCTGCCCCTAAGCCTTACCTTTGGGTAATCTAACACACATTCAGCAATCCTCATTAATTCACCAACACTCTTCTCCCCTCCAGGCCCATTCCCCAAACTACAGTCCCAGCCCATCTCACTGGAATTCCCTCACAGACACCTGGCAGCAGAGCTCCTCCTCGCCTCACTGCCTTCCCTCTCACCACTCTTCCCTGACACTCACTTGATCCTCACAAAAACTCATCAGCGCCCACCCAGCACCCTCACTCTTCCCAACCCACCCATAACACCCTCCTGTTTTGGGTCACCCTGGTGCCACACTCGCTACTGACCCTGCTGAGGGAGAAAGGAATGTCCTGTCCCCCCCCCGGCCCCGGTCCGCCGGCAGCCATCTGCTGCCTCCTCCCTCGCAGGGAGGCTCCAGCGCCCTGGGGCGCCCAGCCCCTCTCCTGCCCTCTCCTTCGCAGCACCTGTGTCACACCTGCAGCTTTGAAGTGAAATAAATGACAGGTAGCTGCTGTTGCAGCGATACGCACGCACACGCAAGCGCACGCAGGCAGCCCACCTCCCCGCTGTGAGTTTCCCCCAAACCTCCTCTCCCTCTCAGGTCAGAGATGCCATGAAAGCCCCCCATCCTCAGGGATGCAGTGGAGCACCAGAGTACACCTGGCCACTTTCCCCTTCTTTCTTACCCGTTGATCGTTTCTTGGGGGACTTGAGGCTCCTCATGCGGCCCGGCGATGACATCCCGCTTTCACTCATGGACCGCTGCTGTACCGCTGAGGCCGCCGGGGTGCCGTTATCTTGCTGTATGGAGATGGCAACACCGGGATTTGCGACTTCTCGTCGCTGAGGTTAATGCCACTGTCGTTGCCACTGTCGGAGTCAGTGGAGCCTCGGAAGTGGCCCACCTTGGCAGAGCCCCCCGACACCAGCTCATTCACGCGGCTGTTGGCAGCCCTCATGGCCTGCTTGGTCCCCATGATGGTCCCTCGCCCGGGTTTGCCGCTGACTGACTGCACGGAGCGGGGGGCTGCCTTCCCGCCAGGGGCCACGCCAGAGCCCTTCCCTGCAGGCTGTGCCAGGGACTTCACAGAGGAACTGAGAGACTTTGACCCGCTGGCGGAGAGGCCCCGGGTTTTATTCCCGTTCGCTTGCACTTTCTGGTTAGCTGTAGGTTTTGCCTGGCTGGTTTTACTGGGCACAGGGGTGGTGAAGGGTGGTGGTAAACCAACACCAGAGGCAACAGGGGGGACGCCCAGCCTGGGGACGGAGCGCCCTGCCCGGCTGTTGCTGGCGCTCCCATTCTCCCTCACCATGCTTGCTTTGGATCCGACTGATGTCAGGCTGTCACACCTCTCCAGGGACATGTGGCTCCCGTAACGGTGCACAGCTTCACTCTTTGATGCCTTCGCCTTTAAGCTGGATGTCATCTTGGGCAAAGAGTGGTCACCCTTCAGGTTCATTTTGCTGCTGGCACTTTCGCTGAAGTAAGACCCAGCTTTGAACCGCAAATCTGCTTCATCTTCAGCCTTTGGCGTGGCAGCTCTGGCAAAGTCCAGACTGGAGGCTTTTCCCCCACCATTACCCAGACCAACAGGTTTCTGCTCCAGGCTTGATTTGCGTACAGGAGGTGTTGGAGGTGTTGGCCCACCTGGCCTGGGCAACATGGTCGACTTCTGTGGTGCACTCTTCTTTCCCAGTGATGATTTCAAGCTGCCAGTGGCTAAGGGAGCATCCGAATTCCCTCGGGTCATGGCCTCCGACGAAGTACTGTTAGCATGCGACACTGGCATCACTCCCAGCGTGGTGGCTCCTCTCTTCAGCTGCGGCATCTTCATCACAACTTCTGACTTCTTTGCAGCTCCACTGGAGGATTTGCAGGCCACTTCGCAACCATCCACAACCCTCTGCGAACAGGCGAGCATAGTCTGCGACTTCGTTGGCCTGGGTGCTGCGCCAAAATACTGGGCAGCTTTTCCTGGCTGCTTCTCAGTACCAAATGCATAAGATTTTGGAGACAGCAGTGAGTCTGCAGGTTTTGCTTCCAACTGATAATCGGTGCGCAACAGCCAGGGATCTTCAAATATACCATGTGGATTCTGCAGCTCTTTATAGCTGAGGACAGTATTATTGTGGATTGGAGACGAGGTAGTTTTTGTTTTCCTAGGAAGACTAGAATGTATTGTTTCTATCACAGGTGTATCGCGAGAATTACTAAATTTTATTTTTACGGGCTGATCAGTGACACAAAAAGCACTTTTTATCTGAGATGCTTTGGTAGTTTCAGAGGTTTGAGGGCTTTTGCTGATGCCTGAGGACAGCTTGCTGGAACTCAGGCTCTCACTCTCCAGTTCAGAGAAGCAAAATCCACTGTCGTTCAGAGCGCTTTTCAGGGGGACAGATAAATGGGATGAATCCAAGTTGAAGGGGTCCTCGGACTTATTACAGCTGTAAGATGACTGTGCGACAAAACTGTCACTAGACTGGGCTCCATCACTTTCGATTGTACAGATGCTGACTTCGCTAAGCCACGAACTGATGGAGGAACGCCTGCTGCTGGTAAAGGGATCCTTAGCAAAGGGCACAACAATATCAATATTTACACCAGTAGAAGTCTCCTGTGAGGTATAAGCATCAAACTCATCATTTATGCTGCTGATAATACTGACTGGCCTTGAACCCGATGCAAGGGCCTGAAGGGAGCAGTCACTGTTAAAGCTAATGATACTGGAAGGTCTTCCATTATCCATAATCCCGCTAATGGACAGTTCTTCTACCACAGTGAAAACAAGCTCATCCTCTCCATTCAGTTCAACAGGCTGCTGCAAAGTCACCGTGGTGGTTAGTATATCCCGATCAAAACATTTCCCTCTGAATGCTGACCTGAAGCTGTGTACCTCTATCGCACCTGACTGATTCTGGGCATTGCTACCAACCAGGAACGTGCTTCCTACAGGGTTTTGCTCAGGTTTGTTTCCCATCTGCTTGCTCATTCCCACAGGAGGAGTCCGAACTGCACTGCTATTTTCCAGCTCCAAATTCTCAGCTTTGGAGCTCGGTACATGCTCTTTCTGCTGTGGAGGTGGAGGTGCTGGGCTTGGCAAGGGTCTCTTCACATACAAGGACTTTTCTTTAACGACACATTCAGCTGTGGCCTTATTCTGCTCCAGATTCCTTGAAGGGCTACACCTTGAGGACTGCAGGGAATCAGTGATTGTCTCTCTTTCCCCCTCCAGTATCGAGTCTATTATTTTGTTGTCAGCTCTGCTCTGCGGCTTGGAAAGCTCTGTTTTCAAGTGAGGTGTGTTCTTTTCATGACAATTGCCATTGCCACCCCTTGGTGCAACAGCTTGGAAAGGAAGGTTATGTCCTTTTTTGGGAGATGCAGTTTCTTGTGGAACTGGTTTCTTGAATCCTCCAGAAGGAGAAGATATTTTTTCCTTTATCAGCTTAGACTGTGCATTTTCTGTACCTCCAGGGACCGGACTACAATTGGACACAACAGGGATTTCTCCACAAGCAAATTTGATCGGTTCCTCACTTCCATCAATGCACTCTAACCTTTCTTGCAGCTCAGCAAAAGTGTTGCATTTAAAATGGTCCTTGTCAGAGCTCCTACCAATGGCAGAATTGTCTTTACTTCTCTTTTTGTTTAGGGATGGGATTATGGGAACAAACTCTGGAGGACCTTCATTATCTGTCAATTCCCTGTCAGACAAAGCTGCACCATTGGGACCAACGTAGATGACGGTATCACAAGACTGTTCGCTGCTGGAGGAATAATCAGGATCACTAGATATGCTCAGGACAGGAAGATCAGGGTCAAGGGCAACAGTTCGTGGGTGGAACGGTCGCAAATGGGGTGGTCTTCGGACATGTCCTTCTTCACACGAACTCTCTCCTCCAGATGAGCTGGATGCATACTGCAAATGATCAATAAGGCAAAAGTTATTAATATAAATTGATAAATATATATATGTACATATAATTTGATTAAAAGGTCAGGTTTGCTATATACTCTGCTTTGTGTATACTATCACAACCATATCTAGGGGAAAAGCGTTAGTGAATTAAAATAACAAGGTCATGCTACATAGATTTTACTCTATTAGGAGTAATGTAACAATCACACCTTTTCAGATAATTTCCATTAAATATTATGCATTGCCTTTCTCCTCAACAGTTTTCTGTTCTTTCCTTATTCATTTTTAATTAAAGCAAATAGCAGCTTTTGAGATAGTTCCACATATAAGCAAAGAAAGAATACGTGTTTGGAACAAAAAGAAGGGAATTTCAGGATTAAGGATTGGGGGCGGGATGATGGCTGAGTGCCAAGTCATTTGTCAGTTCCTCTCCTGAGCTTTTATGCATTTTGTATTAGTTCTTACCGCCAAGAAATCCCATGTTCCCCCACTGAGAGGTTAGGAAAACTCATTTTCAAATGAATTAATTTCTGCTTGTTTGTGAACCAACCTTGGATTTCTTCTTTCTCATTCGATGGATTCGCGATGCAAGCTGAATGGTGGTGAGAGTTTCTGCATAATTGGCTGGGGAGTCAGAAATATGCGCAATCATAGTAGTTCTGCAGTTGATGTTCCCAAGTGATTCCCGCAACAACATTGTCAACTTGTTGTCCCTGTGTAACAAATGACAACACTAGGATGGTTTAAAGAAGTCACAATCTTTTTTTGCAGATTTTTACACCACAAGCTGTGCTTTCACTCTCATAGGATATAGGCATGTATGGTACATGTAGATAAGAAATATGCTCCTATTATTTGACCACACTTAAAATGTGTCTAAATGTACTGCATTGGGTTTGCATGGCAAGGTTCTGATAGCAGGGGGGCTACAGGGGTGGCTTCTGTGAGATGCTGCCAGAAGCTTGCCCTATGTCTGATAGAGCCAATGCCAGACGGCTCCAAGATGGACCTGCTGCTGGCCAAGGCTGAACCCATCAGCAGCAGTGGTAGCACCTCTGGGATAGCATAGTAAAGAAGAAGGGAAAAAAAAACCTGCACAACTACAGCCAGAGAGGAGTGAGGGTATGTGAGAGAAGCAGCCCTACAGCCCCCCAGGCCAGGAGGAGCTGCGGGCAGCCTGGCAGGGCCTGTGGCCCCGTGGGGAGAGGAGCCCAGGCTGGGGCAGGTTTGCTGGCCGGGCTGGTGACCCCGCGGGGGACCCACGCTGGAGCCGTCTGCTCCTGAGGGACTGCACCCCGTGGGAGGGACCCACGCTGGAGCAGAGGAAGAGTGTGAGGAGTCCTCCCCTGAGCAGGATTTGGTTTTGCGTCTCATTACCCTACTCTGATTTGATTGGGAATAAATTAATTTACCCAAATCGAGTCTGTTTTGCCCATGATGGTAACTGCTGAGTGATCCCTCCCTGTCCTCATCTCAACCCAGGAGCCTTTCATTATATTTTCCCTCTCCTGTCCAGCTGAGGAGGGCAGTGATAGAGTGGCTTTGGTGGGCACCCGGCGCCCAGCCAGGATCAACCCATCACATGTACACATACAAAGATACCAATATTTTAATAATTTATCTGCCTATTTGCAGTATGATAAGTGATTTTATTTGTTACTTAGACAACTGTAAAATGATTGATAACTAGTTTAGTTATCTCAGGTTTAGCTCATATTACCCAAAAAGCTCATGAGTGCGGTATTTTTAGCTGAGCACACTTAGTACCTGGATAGCTAAGCTCTGTGAGCTCTGTGCAAACAATTTTTATAAGAATTAAAAAATAAGTCAAGAGAAATGGTAAGAAATCTCTAAACAAATATAACAATGTTAGATACCAGAAATATATTATCAGTATCACCCCAACTAATCCAGTTTCCATTCTGCCTGCTGTGCTCTGCTCTGACACAGCAAATGGGAAGCAGAATTTCTCTCTGAAGGCTTTCCTGGTGGTGCGAGTCCTCCGCCATGGACAGCAAAGCTGACAAGATAGGTGACATTTTGTTCTCTGCTGGTCTCCAAGACATCTCTCCCCAGGGCTCCCTGGAGCCTGCTTCCTATCGCCCCTCTGAGCTGGCCCAACACAAGGGAACTACTGTCAAGTCTGCTCACTAAACCATGGTAGGTGACAAAGTTGAGGATCTGTCCCCTTCCCTATTCTAACCCATCCATCCTCTACTCCATCCACAAACCTAGCAACTAGCCTGAGGAAATTATCTTTCTGCCTAATACAGAAAGAACACCTGTTTGAGATGCAGCACTAGATAACCATGTGAAACGACATGATTGATAACAACAGCACAAACTTACAATGCATGAAGACAAGCAGCAATTAAATATAAGGACTGAAGGCCGAGTTCTGGTAAGGGTGTTTACAATGTGGCTGTTGTCTTTAAGCTGGGCTCCCCACAGGTGTGTTTGACATAATATTATTGTCAAGTACACTCCACAAAGGAGCACACCTAAATGTTCGCTTCTGCTAAACAAATGTGCAACATGGCGGTCGTCTTTTTTTTTTTTTAGTTAAAAAGATGTATCATCCAAAAAGGCCTACGGAAATAGCAACCTTTGATGACCATACTTGATAAACTCTCCAGTATTTTCTGAAATTTCAATACAATTTTTAAATTTGGAAAAAGGAGAGAAAATCCTATGAAATTTTGATGAAATTATTCACTGATGTCCAGCTGGCTGAAATCATCTAAATTCCAAACCCAGGAAACAAAGAGGAGAAAGAAGGAAAGAAAACATTTTGGCCATTTTCCCCAGCTTTTTTCAACAATCAAACCCTTCCCAATGCTTCACCCAACTTAAGTATATGCCAATATGTATACAACTCTTGGCCGTGTAATTGCACGTTACTATGTGATACTTAAAAAGTTGTGTGTATGTATATATACGCATAGACAGGTAGATGAATAGCCATATGTATCTGTAATACAGAAGTGATCTTAAAAGAAGACAGACCCCCTCTGACAGAACTTCCTTTAACTTCCTCTTAGGTAAAGAGTAAATTGTTGATGCAATTCATTGCTAAGGTAACACCAGCCACAAATTTAAGGTAATGCAGACAATAATGCACTTACTTATATGGCACATGCTTAGCACCATTAATTAAGGCCAAAATTACATTGCCCAAGGCAGAAAGAGACAGACACAGAGAGCCTCCTCCATCTCGGCTCTTGCTCAGCACTTTTTCACAGCTCCCTAGATCAATGAGATGCAAACGGCTGCGTCCTCCAGACACTAAAATAAAAAGGGGAAAAACAGTTGTACATCACGTTCTTGCATGGAATCAAGCCAAACCTGGTATTCAAAATGTATTCAAATGAGGAAAATAATGAATACAGCATGGGATAATGACCAAATTAAATATTAATAGTAAGGAAACCAGATATTAGCCACAGCTACCAAAGTTAAAGCTGACTCGCCTGGCTTGAGGGTTCACTTCATATCTTTCTTTTAAAGTTTATTGTAAATTATTGCTTAAACTAACCCCAAACCACATGATTTAAAAATAAACAATATGGTAAGAAGATTCGTACTTCCTCCTTTGCCACTCTTCTCCATGCGATACTGGTATATGTGAAGAGTAAAGAGCATATGTGAATTCCTCCTATCTTCTTCCTCGCATTCAGGTTTGCTGGTACTTCTGGCGGCAATTGCAGCATCAAGGAAAAAAGCAGCTTTCTCTGCTGTCGGGGCCCTTAGCTCACTTTGGTTTTGAAGCTTGAATATAAACAAGAAAATGACTAATTAGCACAGGGGCATTTTTTTCCATATTATTTTTTGCTGAACTGGCTAAATCTCCAGGGCAGTAAAGAAACAAATATGTACACCATGGGAGAAGGGCTTATAAATTAAAAGCAATACATTTTTTTTACTGTCTTAAAATTTGTCATAATTGTTGTCAGATCAAAGGAAATAAAAAGCAGAAGAAAGTCAGGCTCAGAAAAATCTATGCTGTGATATCCATTATACCTGGGTTCCACATATTGGATCTTCTCTCAGATAAACCCCGGGAGACTGGCCATCCTGAAGGCTGCCAGTGGCTACTTCAGCTAACAAATCCTTAAGGTTTTCATCTTTGCCACTGATCTCCACGGCAGATACTCTAATAGAGAAACGAGTCCCAGTTTTTTCTTTACGTTCATTGATTAATTTGAAGAGCCAAGAAATTGCACAGGGGATGATACCAAGGCTTTGCGTGGAGTTATCTTTCCCAATCATGGTAAAAGATTTTCCTAGGATGAAAAGACAAACATGAACTTAATTCACCTTTCTTGTACAAGTGTCTCTCTTCATATTGCCACTGTACATTACGTGCAATGCCATGTGCTGCACAGATAATGGGAAAGAACAGATGCAAAAATGCAAAGTATTTAATTATTAATCCATTACTATTTATTCAATTAGTTTTGCAATTTTTTGTAACGCAGACCCACAGCAAATTAACATTAAAAACATCTCTGAGCTTTTGATTTTCATCACAATGTATCTGTATAAACTTGGTCCTGAATAAACTAATCTGATGTTAGGTTTTACCTTTTCAAATTAAAATTTACAATCCCAGCGTAGAAATAAACCGTGGTAAGTTTGCAAAGCTAATTAAAAAGAAATTCTAATCTATTCATATACTCCAGGTTTATTGTTCCAGGAGCTGACAGCATGTAATTACCAGACTGACATAGTAATTAACTGTAACGAATTTGGGAGCTCACCAAGCTTGACATGACCAAAGCAAAATATGCAACCATCTGCACCATTCACAACAGACTGGATTACTTCTGCTACTGTTCCAGAGCATACCTCAGCCTGAAAGAAAGATTGGAGACAAATAAGTGAAAGAGCATATACTGCTATGGTTTTTACTGTTCTTCTGTAATGAAATGAATGACTCAATATTTTTGAGGCGCAATATTCTCCCCATTTTTATGGCATCAGTCCTATTATTTTAGTAACTATGCTATCTTAAAAAATAATAAAATATGCTACTAGAGCCTAAAATAGTTCTCAATTCTATTAAACCAATTCTCTTGGAATATTGATTCTATGACTAATGTAGCAAACTGAATGCTATCCAACCAGGCTTCCTGCTGGTATAATAGCTTAGCCAAGGCTATTCAGCAATAGTAGCAACTCCACTGAAATTAAGCTACTCAAGAGTGCTCACAGGAATTAAAAAGACATTTATATTGGAGAAAATGCATTAAGATCCCTGAATAAGATTTCATAGTGTCACATTTACCTCTTCAAGGGGAAACATCATCATCAATAAAGAGAACTTGCTAAAATATTTGAGTGTGCTAAAACCAGTTTATCCATGTCAGTGAAGGTTTCAAATATACAGTAAGATGATCTATTAAGTACAGCAACTGGGGGCAAGGGGGAGGGCTGGTGTAAATATGTAACTACAGTGAAATGATAAGGCTCTGTTTGCAGGTACAGGGCGGCAAGCTTGCCTCCAGCAACAACGCCTGCATGGAAGTGGCTGCGCTGGCCAACATCACCCAGAAACACCACAAACAGGCCACCCAGCAGCCCACCACGAGGACCTGAAAGAGCCTAGTCCAAACCAGGGGTTAACAACCCAAGGGACTGGTGCCAAAACCAGCAGAGAAGCAGGTTGTGACTGGCCACCTTGCAGCAGGGCTGGCAACACAAGTCAGAAAAAGCCACTTCCAGTTCTGGACTAATGTTGAGATGTGTTGCGTATTTCTGCACAAAGATGCCATCTGAGCTTATGCAGAATCTTAAATCCAGCCTCCTGGCCTCGTACCGCTGCTTTAGTCACTGATCTCTGTGGGAGATCTTTAGGGCTTGGTTAGAACTTTGACCTAATAGATGTTTTCCCATCTGTAGTTTGGGACCCAAAAAATTAAACAAAATCCTAGGAGAAGATCTGAGGGCGGGATTCTGAACTAGATCTTGTCATGTTTTCTCAACATTAATATACCATTTTCACCTCGGATGTTTTGTGTTTTATTTTCCTTTTATCAAACGCTAGGTTTTTTTCAGGCAGTACAAACTTGAAGTGGTTCTTCATACTCTGCTTAATTTTTTCTTACTTTTTAAAGTAGTTCTAGGATTTTTTTTTCTGAACCAAGGGTTTCTCCCAGAAAGAAGGTGTCCAATCTCACCAAATATAGTGCAGCACACAATCCTCTCAAATACCAGCCACCCCATCTGTATATCAGGTTTCAGGTCTGGGGCTACTACTGTACAAATACACCCTTTTGCAGGGCAAGAGAAAGGCATGCACCATCAGCACCACCATCAAGATAAAATAATCAGCCAAAACCACAGTATAAACAAACTGGAAAAGGCAAGGAAGATATAAAAGCTCCCTAACTGTTTCAGTATAGCAATCCCATGGGGTTAGCTGTATCTCTTCTCTTAACAACAGCATTTAGTTTGACGTTAAGCACATGTTCATTTCCCACTGAAAGCAGTGGGGAAGGACTTTATTTCAGTGACATCAAACGGGTTAAAACCTAACTGGATGGAAAAGTGAATTTCAAATTGGCTGTGTGTCTTTCTCTAACAAGAGAAAATGCAGGAAGATAATTTAGTCGGCAAATCCATCTCCCCAGCTATTACTCCTTAATTTTACATCTCAACTAAACTGAAAATGTAAGAATTTACCCACTTGTCTATTAATTACCATGTTTTTTCCAGGCATTAAGGCAACTCATTCAAATAAAATTCCCCAGAAACAGAAAGAACTCTTAAGGCAATCAAATGCAGTGGCCATGAGAGGACTCGGGAGGTTTATGCGAGTGACTCCAGTACCTGCGAAGCATCCTGGGGGAAAACTGCATCAAAGGCAAACATCTTTGGAACAGCAACAACGCCTCTCCTGTGACCTGCATTGGAAGGCCCACCTGCCGCTGGATCATAAAACGTGATTTGCTTTTTTCGCGGGTCTACCTTCAGGAAGGACATGGATTCGGATGTTTCATGTGTTCCTTGAGAAGGACAAATCCTTACCATCACTTTCACCTGCAAGAATTGAGAAGAAAGCGACAACCTGAGTTCCCAGCTACAGATAAGCGCATGCAAAGCGTTCCTCCCAAGCCCACTCCCCCTCCCATGACACGTTCATTTGTAATATTTAGGTGTGTCAGAACAAGCGTGGGACAAAACCAGAGCCAGATTTTCCAGCCTGGTTTCCACCCTGGGGTCTTTAATGAACTATCTTTTAAAAGGTGCACTTCATCCCTTCAGTTGACTCTGTTCCAGTTTTACCATTTCAATTTATAAATGGCTGATCTGCAGGTATAATACCATGCCTAAAGAAAAGGGAACTCTAGTCTCCTACCTTCAAGTACTTCATGTGACCGAAAGCGCAAACCGACCCACCCTGCAAACCAGTCTGAATAACGCAAGGCTCAAACAGCTAGTGCATTCAAATGGAACTTAATCTAGACTCAATCCCTGGTTCACATTCTTCTAATGAAAAGGTGCTCCTCTTACAGCCTTCCTAGGCAGGCGCCTTTATGCTGTCATTGCTAGGCTCTTCGGTGGTTAGTTGCAGATTTAATGGGAAAGAAGGGAAGAAAAAAAAAAAAGCATCTAAAGGTCGAAAAGCTTGAAAAGAAACGATTCACAAAGTACATTTCTATTGCAGCACTGCAAATGCCAATTTCCTACACATGGCATTTCAAGACAGCATTTTTAGAGAGCTCAGACATGTTGGCTCTGATTTCCAAAGCAGCTTATGGGAGCCAAGTGACTGGGTCTCACTAAAGTTCAGCAAAGGCTGCACACCTGCTTCTTTTAAGCTTCCCAGAAATCATACTCTTACTTTGAAAAACTGTGAAATATTGCCTCACACCCACTTACAACCATTTATCCTTATGAAATGCTCCCAGGTCAGAACCAGTGTGTTTTATACACCTTCCACTCAAGTAAATGGCTATTACAGGCGCAGTGAATCACTTTGCTGATCTTAAATTCTGCGCTGCCCAGCAGACCAAACTTAAGAGAAAAGCAACGCTCAGCCAGAGTGACTTTCTATGGCCAATATGAAATGTTTCAATAGCAAGCTGAACAACAGCATAATCTCCTTATCCAACTACCAGACAACTTTCACAGCACCAGTGTTAACCACCTAGTCTCACTGGGTGAAGAGCCTCTGTGGTTGTAATGCACCACGGCCAGCAAACTGGCACAATTTACACCCATACGCTCCAGAGCACCCATTGGGAGCTTCATCTTCGGCAGGGCAACCACTGACCTACAAAACACCCACTCCTTTTACAGCACCTGCACCTGATTTGGAACATGGGGTGACAGATAGCAACCCCTCTGCTGTAAATCACCAGGTGAACTCTCCAAACACAGGGCACACAGACACTTGCTGATCTGAGTCTGGCCCACCTCTAGCCCGGAGCTGGATGTTGCATGGGGAAGCCAGGTTGGAAAGCATCCATCTCTCATAAAGAATGGTCCTCCTTTTCAGTAACTTTTTGTTGCTAAATTTAACCTTAGATCTGCCAGAACAATTTGACTCCTATTTACTATGTTCTGAGAACATTATCTCATTAAAATGGTGTGCACTTACTACACTGACACATTCTTTGTGTCTTTACCAAAAAAATGTGCTTTGCAGTCAGCGCTTCCCTGTCACTCCTGTATCCAGAGAAATAACAGCAAACAAAGACCCAAAGCTGAAAAACTACTTCAGCAAAGCACAACATGGGAAATGCAGGCAATGAACAGAGACCAGAGGAGGCTGAGCCTCTAGGTTTGCCCTTCATACCAGACAAGATGTCAAGGTGCACTGGGTGCACACACACCTGCACCCAGTGGGTGCAAGCAAAATGTAGTGTCCAAGCCAGGGTGATCCACAGCAGCCGGGTGGGTGCAGCAGTAAGCACCACGCTGAACTGTCCCTGCCTTTATCACCTGGGGAGGGTGGGTAACGTGAAGATTTCATTTAGGTCCTCAACTGTTCCATTTTCCAGATTCTACTTTTTATGGGGGCTAAGCTGCGTACAGGCATCCCCGCACAGTTACTCAAGCATCCTCACAAAATAATATTTTCCAGAAAGCAGCTGTAAGAGCTTTTTCCCAACACTTTTTCCAAATAAAGAGGTTAAGAAACAACCAACCCCTCCAATATAAAAACTGCAGGAGACTCCACCAAAAGGTAGCAGCAAATTCTTCCACCCATTGACTCAAGCAGTCCCCCAATCTCAACACTTTCTTTTCTTTCCCCTTTCACAGTGATATGAATATGAAAATACAGTCCCAGAAAATAAGCGAACCTTAGAATAAATGAAACAGCTGCTTCAAAAGCAAAGTGCATCAGAGGTGACACACTCAAGGCTGTTTCCCCATAAAAGCTCCATGAAGCCAGCTTTGTGTATTAGCCTGCTAGCTCAACCTTGACATGCTACCAAGGTGCTCAGAAAAATAACCTCCCTCAGGAAAAAAAAACTCAAACACCTAAATATATATGTAAATACAAATGCCCACTTCAGGGTCACTTGATTAAAATGAAATTTAAAATATATGCTGTTTTCAAAGCACTTCTCTAAACAGTCCTTTCTGTTCTCTCTTCCACCTATTATTAGATTAGAGCAGCCAGAGCTCGGATAAGAGGAAAATTGGTTTGCTCCTGACCGAAACAGCAAGTTACCTCCATCAAAGCGTTGCTCGCCCTAACACAAAGATGGCTTCACCCCCAGAAAAACCTCGTGTGTCAAATAATCAGCTTTTTGGGACCACCTCTCTGAAGCAGACAGAATAGCTTCCCACAAGGGAACAGATCCCAAACTTAACAGGCTCAAGGGTCACCTTCATTTTCACAGTGGAAGTGAGCTTTCAAGACGAATGGGAGGGGGAAGAGAAAAGCAGCTCGAGGGAGTTCCTCTTGTAGCGTTTTGTGTATAAAAGCTGATTTGCAGAGTAGGAAAACACTGATTTCAAATTTAGTTTCTCTGCCCACTAAACCTATCTGTAAATTATGCCTACCAGAAATGTTATGATGTGTCACACTTATTCATGATGCTGAGCCAGACTCTGACTTCACGCAGAAATGAAGCGGAAATGCTCATGAAGTACCAACAAGCACAAAGATTACTCAAACATATCCCTTCGCAGCAGCAAAATCTCATTGCAGGCAGATCCCGGGTGTATGCACATGCTTCTAAGCATGTAAAAGAAAGGTTTGGTGTTATACTATTTATTCTTCTTACACTTCTTGCCCTCCTGTGCTTCAGGACCAATCTTAAATGACAGGTTTATATTCTCAGCTCTAAAGTTCACCCCAGTACTCTTCTGGGATGAGTACTGCAGAAAAAACAGCCTACTATAGAACCAGCACAGTTCCTGCCTTAAGGATCGACTTAACTGCATCTTCTCCTGGGTCTCTTTATCTAGTTCTCACATAAAAGGCATGCTCACCTGTAGGGATAGCAACACACAGTGCAGGAAATCATCCAGGTACAAGGGCTTGCAGTGAGGGGAGGATTCGAGAGAACATGGGAACCTGCAAACTTTAAAGTAACTTTGGCCCATAACTGGGGAGCATAGCAGCAATACCTGCACTGCACTCTAGTGCTTTTATTTGCTTCTGAAGATGAATTACAAGAACTAAGTGCAATAACATTAACTTCAGGCCCACTCAGGATCACACCCCCCATGGGCAGTTATTCAACAATATGGCCAGCTGTGGGGGGGGTTTTTTTGAAAGGGATGGCAAGGGAGGGAGGAGGAAGAGAAAGAACACAAAAAAAGAAAGACAATACAAATATGGCAATTCCAGAGAAGTCATCTCTGCTCTGCCCTGACTGCTTTTAGACTCTTTAAGGAAAGCCAATATTGCACATCCTTCCTATGATGGGGATCACCCTTCCAGCTAGAACTGGGGATTTTTAGCAGCTTCTGGGGTTTTTTCCCTCTTTTGTGTATTTCTTCATCAATGTCACAGAAAGATGCAGAGTAAGACAAAGAATTACAAGTGGAAGTTGGGCATTATCAAGGATACAAGGATTTGTAAATAGACATTCAGACAGACATTGAATATTGGATAGCAGCTCCATTTTAATGAGGATGCTGATTGATAAAGAGGATAGCTTTGTATTTGAGCTCAATTTCTGCAAATAAAAATAAAAGAAACACAAATATCACAATACTTGCACATTATTAACATTTTTCTCAGTGCCTGAAGACAGGCTAAGTCATGCAAACCACTGAAGTATTTCATTAATTAACTGACTCTAATCTGGTGGGGTTTGTATGCTGGGGGTTAACACTCAGCTGTTGAACTTCCCAAATTCACGCTTCTGCAGGAACCAGGAGGTCAGCAAAATTGCTAAAGGAAACCCTATTAAAACCAAAAGTGTTTCGGAAAAGAAGATGGCAAATACATCCTGAGTATGCCATTAAAAGATAAAGAATTTTAAAAGTAAATAAACGCGCTTGTGATTTGGAAAAGCCCAAGAAATGGGTGGCATAAGGTCAGAGGCCCATCCACCCAGCACAACAATGTGTGTAATTTTAACCCTCACTGGCAAGGATGGGAGAGAGATTCATAGCAATCAAGGAGGTTTGGGGTTTTTCTTCTTTTTTTTTTTAAGTTTATCTGTCTGTCATCCTACAGTGGAAGTCAAGGGAAAGAAAGGCTATAAAAGCAAACATCTGCAAGCTAGAATTCATTTGGTCCAGCTACATAAGGGCAAGCCCAGTGGATGGATGCTGTTTCAGAAAAACAAGTCATACGGCAGTTTTATGCACGCATGAAGAATTTTAAGGGAAACAAACTGGCAGAGGGCAGATTTCTGCAGATAATGGGGCAGAGGGGGAAGTCCCCTGTGTGGAGGACCAAGGCTATGTGGAGGACTATGGGGCTGAACCCCATACGGTTTTAGAAACATCTGATGAGACCACTAGGGAACCACAGAACCATATAGTACACTCAAATATCAGTAATTTGTTGGAGCCCTGAGCCAAAACTCTAGACCTTGACATCTTGGACCCTTATGAAAGTCAAA